TGATGACAGGACTCTAACAGTAGGAGAAAATCCACTGAAAATATCAGAGGATGGAAAGACCATTCTGTGGGAAGGATACAGAGCCTGAGCTTCCAAGATATAATAGATCAATAACTGAATGTGGTGGTCATGGCTCCAAAAGAGAAAATCCAGAGCTAGAGAAAACAGAGGTCCCAGAAGCAAGTACCTCCTTATCGGCAGATTGAGAAAAAAGCAGAAACAATGCCTGAATGAATCATGATAAGAAGATCAGAAAGATGAGACAGAGAATGATGGCAAACCTGCAGATCACCCACCATCTTAAGGATGTAGAGATACCTCTCCTCAGGAGACCAGCAGATGGATATGGATCAGGTGTTCAGCACTTTATCCCATCTAAACAAAGACAGTGGTGGAATAGTTTGTGTGGAGGAGTGGCTGTGATCAAGCACAAAACAACACAATAGGCCACCTGTGCTGCATTCACCACAGATACGTAAATTCACATACATAACTGATACGAGCCCACTACTTTACTTCAGAGTCCTAGAAGATTCCCAACATATGCAGGTCTAGTTAAGGTGGGGAACAAGGGACTCAATAGAAGAGAGAGTCCCGAAAAGAGATAAAACCTCTCATTCAAGAAATGAAGGAGATATGAGAGCCTTGGTATCAAAAGCTCCATGTCTCAAGATAAAGAAGTAGACCAAACCTGCTCCACATACAAAGTGAGAAAGACCGCCAAGTGAATGAAATACAAGGTGGGAGTTGAGACTGAAATGGAGAGCCAAACCAGCTGCCCAAAATGAGATGACCCCCAAAGAAGAAGGAAGGTCACAACAGAGGAAGCCATTTTGGTAGATAGGGGCAAATAGAGCAAAACGTCCATAGAGTTGTAGAATAATAGGCCTTGGGAATATAACCACCAAGCAAAAGCCTACTGAATCCAAAGAAAAAAGATGGAGCCCTAGCCAACTTGAAGAGAAAAGCTGAGAACAAAATGTTTGACCATTGTGGATTAACCAAAATAAGGGAGATAAAGGAGAGGTGGGCAAACAAATTGAGATGTGGAGAAAATGTCTGAGACTTTGAACTGGATCATCCTCTAATGGGGAAAGTGTACACCATACAGTAAGAAAATAGTTCATTTGGAACTAAGGAAAGATCAAAGTTGAGGCAAGTGGGACAGACTGATGACTGGTCAGCAAACCTCCCATCTTCATAGAAACAATAAAAAAGATGGAATTAAAACCCCATGGTGGGGGTAGAGGAATTGTCCCATGGCATTCAAAACAGGCGAGATGGAGAGTAGAAGAACAGGGAAAAAAAACACCTCCCAGACCTACAACAGACAGCTCTCACAGAGAAAGAATCTTGGATTGTAACAAGAAAACAAGGAGGAGGAAAGTGGAAGACCCCACAAGGCTGAATATAATGACAAACATGGTGAGGCCCCCTGGTCTCAAAGACAAGAAATCAAAGTGAGAAGATGTGACTGCTGATGAACTTCATCAACTACAAAAGTTAAATGATAAGAAATATTCCTAAAAACATATCATAAAAAAAAGAGTGCAAGACAGAACCTGGAGAGAAGACTGAGGGAGGGGAATATCAGAAAACTTGATGAAGTACACTGCAGAAACAAAACATACCAAGTAAACTGGGACAAAATGGAACATGGGCAAGGTAGAAAATAGAAATTTGCAATTTGTCCCAGTAAAGCTGATAAGGTAAAAAATAACACTTCAAAAATAAGGGAAAACATGAGAAAGAATGAAGAAGTTGAGTAAGAGAGGAAGATGGGGAGATGAAGAGAGGGAAAGAAAAAGGAAAAAGAGGAAATCCTGAGCTGATGGAGGCTCATGCAACAAGGGTGCCTGAGAATCGGCAAAAAATAAATGCAGAAAGAGAAAAAAAACATACTTATTGAGTCCAAGCAGTGAAGGACAAAGGTGTGGAATACTTGATTCTTGAGACGAGGGAGCTGGAATTAAAAGCTGGCATGGAAACAACAATAGTGAAACACATTACAAGATGAGGGAAGGCTCAGCTGAAATAACAGAAGCAGGAGGTCAGGAATGTTGGTTCTGAGATCAGAATTGGACCAACCATGTGGTGCACAATGATGGTAGTATCACTGAATGTCAAAACGCCTCAAGTAGCCACTGCAGTATTTGATGACTCCTATTGAAAAGTTTCAAAAATCTCAGGAAATGGCAGAAATGTGGATATGTGAATGCATAATCCAGTTGGTCCATGAAACTGATTTTGTGGTGGTTCTTTTTTATATATAAAAGACAAGGAATGTCACAGAGTCCAAGATTTTTTTTATTTATCTTTATGTTGTGGTGTGAATGTCTTTTCCAAGCTGCAAAGCAAGATTATAATTGTTACAATACATTAGTAATAAACCTATAATATTTCTTAACACTTCATTCTTTATCTACTATATAATAATATAGTGTATAGTTTTACAATAATAGTATTCCAACAACACCATATTTACCATATCCATTATACACTCTTCTAATTCTTGAAAATCCATAAGGGACTAGATAAAGAATGCAGTGTTAAAAATAGAATAGGCATAATATTGATGTATTATGACAAGTATAATTAATTATAATATGCATTACCAGCTTGGAAAAGGTGCTCACACAAAAAAATTGTTGTTTTAACAGCAGACTTATATAAATAGTGTTCCAATTACTACTCTGTTTGTTGTGGCCCAGCCAGCCTGATGAGCTCTAGATTGAGTAAAATGTGTCATTGGCAATGGATAAGGAGAACATATCGTGGTTGGAATACTATAATTATAGACTCTTCTATTTTCAGAAAATCCCTAAGGGGTAGACAGAGCCATAACTACAATAGAGCAGGAGGGGCAGTTGCCCAGCACACAGCTAGGAGGGGGATGCAGTCTGAGCACTAAGCCTGTTATTCAATAACTTATGCAGAACTATACAGACTGGAAACTTGCCCAGAGTGCAAAAATGACTGACTACGGCTTTGGGACTAGATAAAGAAAGCATGTTTGTTTGTTTTGTTTTATTTCGGACAAAGCTACATGAGGGCTATCTGTGCTAGCCATCCCTAATTTAGCAGTGTAAGACTAGAGGGAAGGCAGCTAGTCATCACCACCCACCTCCAACTCTTGGGCTACTCTTTTACCAACGAATAATGGGATTGACCAACACAT